TAAATAATTTTTTATTTTATTCCACTTATTACTTTTATTTATTAACATTTATATATATATATATATATATATATATATATATATATTTATATATTTAATTTATATTTATATATTTAATTTATATTTATATATTTAATTTATTTTAAAATATATATATTTATTTTATTCCACTTATTACTTTTATTTATTAACATTTATTTATCTATTTATTTTATTTTAATATATATATTTTTATTTTATTCCACATATTACTTTTATTTATTAACATATATATATATATATATATATATATATATATATATATATATATATATATATATATATATATATAATTTATTTTAAAATATATATATTTATTTTATTCCACTTATTACTTTTATTTATTAACATTTATATATATATATATATATATATATATATATATATATATATTTACCTATTTAATTTATTTTAAAATATATATATTTATTTTATTCCACTTATTATTTTTATTTATTAACATTTATTTATTTGAAGTTTTAAAATATTTTATTTTATTCATCTAGAAAATAAAAATCAGTGAGTGAACATGAGCTTTCCTGATGTGTTAATGCAGCTGTTTCAAAGATCAGGATAATTGAAGATTTGAGACTTTAATCTTATAATCTGAAAGAATTTAGTCTTTAATCTTACAGCGTGACCATGGCATTACTCTGCATTCATGCTAATAAGTTTTAGGATCACAACAGACCAGGCTTGACCAATCAGAGCAGAGTAGGAGAGAAAAGAGCAGATTCTGCAGTGGCCTCGTGTGTGTGTGTGTGTGTGTGTGTGTGTGTGCGTGCGTGCGTGCGTGCGTGCGTGCGTGAGAGAGATCAGTGTTTAGACTGGCCTGCTGCTATAGCTCTTGTTTGTCCAGCTCCTGCTGATAGCGAAGACTCTCAGATGAGCTGTGTGTGTTTATGTCTGCTCTTCACTGTGAATCCTCCTCTCTCTCTCTCTCTCTCTCTCTCTCTCTCTCTCTCTCTCTCTCTCTCTCTCTCTCTCTCTCTCTCTCTCTCTCTCTTCAGGATATGCCGTTCACCTGTGAGGGAATCACTCCAGATATCATCATCAATCCTCACGCCATCCCATCCAGAATGACAGTCGGCCATTTGATCGAGTGTCTGCAGGGGAAGGTACAGCACGCTACTGACATCTATGCTGGCGACACATGCTTATTCTGGAAAACACAAGTTCACTACATGCCCCTTAATAATTCTGCCATGCACAAATCATTGTGTTCAATCACAGTGTTAAGTTTTCTGAATGTATATCTTCATCATTACTCAACATTAATAGTAGTCTGTGTTAGACGTGTTATGGCTTCTCTATGTTGCTGTTCTCTGGTGATTTCTTTCATTTGTAAGTTGTTGTTTTTTTCTAAAAGCCTCTGCTAAATGAATAAATGTAATGTAAATGTGCTGTCGTGTTCAGGTGTCTGCTAATAAAGGAGAGATCGGTGACGCCACGCCATTCAATGATGCTGTCAATGTGCAGAAGGTCTCCAACCTGCTGTCTGAATACGGCTACCATCTCAGAGGAAATGAGGTCACCTGCTTACATTAACATATAACGATTACGCTCAAACTATATTCATATTAATAGATTATGTTGAAACTTTGACCATATTAATAAAGATTGTGTTGCAGTTATGACTATATTAATAAAATAGTTACAATTATGATCATGTGTGCATGTGTGATGAAGCTGTTTATTCCTGCAGGTTCTGTATAACGGCTTCACGGGTCGTAAACTGACGTCTCAGATCTTCGTCGGACCCACATATTACCAGCGTCTGAAGCACATGGTGGACGATAAGATCCACTCCAGAGCCCGCGGGCCGGTGCAGATCCTCAACAGACAGCCCATGGAGGGGCGATCACGGTCAGTTCTGCACTGGCCTGGCCCTTTATTTTATTTCATTTATTAACAATTATTTATTTATGAAAAAAATATTTTTACATTTTTATTTTTAACTTTAATATTTTATTTAAATTTATTATTATTATTTTATTTTATTGATATTTTTAATTATTAACATAATTTTTTATTTAAACAACTTTTTTATTTTATTAACATTTATTATTATTTTGTTTTATCAACATTTGTTTATTTTAAAAAAAGACTTATTTTTATTCCAATTTTATTTATTTTTATTTATATTTTATTGGTGTTTATTTCATTTATTAACATTATTTTTAATTAAACAATATTTTTTATTTTTAACATTTATTTTAACATTTCTTCATTTTAAAAAGATTTATTAAAATTACTTTATTTTTTTAAATCTATTATTATTTATATTTTATTTGTTTTTATTTTATTTATTAACATATTATTTATTTTTTAATAAATAATAAATTTTTAATTATAACATTTATGTTTATTATATTTTATTTATTAACATTTTATTTATTTTTAATTTAATAATATTATTTTTTATATATTTTTTATTATTTAATTTAATATAACATTTTTTTATTTAATAAAATATTAATTAAAAAATTTAATTTAACTTTTTTATTTCCTTAACATTTTTTATAAATTTTATTTGTTTTATTTAACAATATTTTTTATTTTAACATTTTTATTTTATTCAGCTAAAAATCAGTGCTGTGAGTGAACATGAGCTTTCCTGGTGTGTGTTATGCAGCTGTTTGTGAAGGCAAAAGATCTGCAAAGTTTCAAAGATCAGAAAATTTGAAGATTTGAGACTTTAATCTTATAATCTAAAAGAATTTAGTCTTTAATCTTACAGCGTGACCATGGCATTACTCTGCATTCATGCTAATAAGTGTTGGGATCACAACAGACCAGGCTTGACCAATCAGAGCAGAGTAGGAGAGAAAAGAGCAGATTCTGCAGTGGCTTCATGAGAAAATGACAGTTTTGTGTGTGTGTGTGCGCGCGCAGTGACGGTGGTCTGCGTTTCGGAGAGATGGAGCGTGATTGTCAGATCGCTCACGGAGCTGCTCAGTTCCTGAAGGAGCGTCTGTTCGAGGCCTCGGACCCATATCAG